GTTGCAACTGCCCTGGCCTCATCTCCTAAGTACCAAGAAGTGGAAATCATATAAATTTCTACAAGTTATTCTGAGGGGAAAATCTCCTCAGAGATTACACTGGCCAGAGAAATAACAGATACGGTTTTTATGCAACAAAATTTCAGAGTTTTTGTTTGCTATTTGAGATGAAAAATCAAGGATTTTCAGTTTCAGGTTAGGATTAGCTTAGAGGCGGGACAGCAATGGTATAATAAAGGTGGGTGGGTCAAAAGTACGAGTTCAACCATGGTCTGGAAAATTAGCTGCTGTTGTGACACAAGTGGCTGGTGGGTTTTATTTGTGAACAATGATGCAGTGTTTCTGTGCAGCAACTCAGACAATGGGAGTTATTAAAACTATGCGATGGACTGTGAGGCATGCTTGAATTTGAAAATAAGATTGTGCTTATTAAATTCTTAATCAGAGGTATGCTGACCTTCAGGTATTACTTTGGGCATATTACTGAAGATCAAGGTTAAAAGGTATTGAAAAAAGCCCAGTAACTACATATGGTCAGTGGTCCATATGCGAGGTCATATTTTTTTTTTTTACTTTATTAAATTGAACTATTTAGCCAACATCTCACCATAATCCAGAAAGAACAGCAATGGCGTGTGACACTTTGGGTTTTTTTCATAAAAATTATGTATATTTAAGGTGTACAACATGATTTGATGTACAAATACACAGAGAAATAATTACTACAGTCAATCTAATTAATGTCTCATTGCTTTGGTCACCATAGTTGCCATTTTGTGTGTGGGGAAAGCACCTGAAACTCTTAGCAAATTTCCAGTATTCAATACAATACTGTTAACTAGTCATCAATGCATATTAGATCTCTAGACTTATTCATCATATGCCATCCATGCAGACACCATCATTCCACTCAATTTTTCTTGATTTCCAAATGCTTGTGGTAGCTGAAAACAAAAAAATGTACTAATACTGGCCAAGATTGGCTATTTGTAAACTGTATGCTGAACTGTATGGTAAACTAGAGAAAACTATGTAAAAGTTATAACTCTTTAAGGTACATTATGTAGCAGGGAGTCACTTAACCTCAGGAAACTGAGAAGGGAAATTGAACTGTTTTTAAAAAAAAAATGAAGGAATCAAATTTAAATTCTCAGTACATCGTGAGATATTAAGTGTTTCAGATTCTTATCTGAAGAATGAACAGACAGTGTAGAACTATTAAATAGTATCAGGTGGCTTCTCAGCCTGAAGGAGCTCAGGATGTCCAAGGTATGGCCAGTCAGTATAAAAAAGACGCAGAAACATCTAATCATTGTATAGTTTAAGGCAGACTATTTAGTCTTCTTCTAGGCATCTGCTGACTGATTTTAGAGATGACAACAGAAATTAAAAGAAGCAGTCTCTTATATAGCATATGTCAATTCAAAGGCATAACTGCTTGTGAAGATCCTATAATTTGCCTGTTTCAGAAACAGATCTGCTGAACTGTCCTTAGTGCTTCATGTAGCTTTAAAGATTCGTCCTGCATCAGTCTATGCGAATGCTTCCTACCTGCAAAACGCAAGCATGGAAGTCTCAAATCCTGAAACTCACTGAAATATTGATGTAAAAAGTTATTTTAGCATAAGCAAGGACACTGCACTCAAATTTAGTATCAAGATCACCTCCAAACTCTGTAAGTAGCAGAAAATAAGGTGTTTAACTGGACTTCAGAACCCTATAGGCCCTCCTGGAAAAGCAGAAATTTAATGGGCTTTTGGCATTTCAAGAACTTGTTGTTGAGACTGTCAAAGGTTTCAATAAGAAATTCTAACAACTAGAAGAGCAAGACATTAGTGAGAAAGAAAGCATCGCGAGTGAAATCTGTGTCCAGGGGACTTTAGCACTGCACAAAGAGCATATTTTATTCAGACCATTTGAAGTTAGATGTGCCCCCTGCCAAAGACTGCTGTACAATAGTGGCTTGTCCCCTACTTCCTGGGCGGTACTGTTTTTAGCTTTTGCGTATGTTGGGAGGGTAAGTTAGGTGAAGGGTTTCACTACTACTTGAAAACTAGCTCTCCAATGAAAGGTGAAATCAATTCCTCTCTAGTGTGACCTTCCCTCTCCTCCTTAGGGCAGTTATACTTACACACGGGCCAAAGGCTGAAGTCACAGAATCAGGTATTTAATCATAGGATTTCAGAAAGTAGCCCAACTGGAGAATAAGACAGCTATCTCCTTTAGAGCCTCTGAAAGTATAATATGTAGGTCTGTTTTCTCAGGATAGGTTGAAGCTCCCAAGTCCTTATTATAGATTGTCCTGATATCCTACTCTGGTTTGATCAGTTTATTATCAACTCCAGAATGACAAAAGAGGGCACACAGGAAGACTTGTATTGGATAAAACAATTGTTTCCTACATAAAACAGATTTAAATTTTACTTACAAAAGCTGTCTTGTGGAGGGGCAGGGGGAACCACCGATTAGAAAGCTGCTTTTGCTGTTGTTAATTTTTTAGTATTTGAAAAGATGTTTCAACCAATAACATATGAGGTGTGCAGCACTCCTGGCAGGCAGTGTGTGGAGCTTTGGAAAGGTGAAAATTGTTACAGCAAGCTGCTTTCATTTATTAAGCTAAGCATGCATGTGCCTTTTGAAGGATCCCTTTGATCATAAAGTTAACATCTGGGCTGTTCATCACCAGCTCCATCAACATCACCAGAGGTTTTACAAGGGCCCCCTTATCCAAACTACAGCACACTTACTGCTTTCTTCCTGTATCCCCAGATAAGTCTCCGGGACCAGATACCAACAAGTCATTTTGTCTGCTTTCATTGGTTTGGCCACATAAGGAATATTCTGTTTCTTTACATCTCAAGTGCTCAAATTGCCATGTAAAAACCAACTATCAGTTTTTCTATTTAATTCCCAGCTTTTTTTTTTTTTTCATTTTCTGCATTGGTTCCCATGGTAACAAGTCTGTTGGCAGAGAAAGTGTGACTCTGATTCTAGCTTTCTGCACAATTCAAAATCTTTCTAGTGATCCTCAGGCAAGTGTCATATAAACAGGAAGCAAGAGACCAGAGTTCCCTAAACTAATGCCTCTAATCCCTTACCTGCCGTATGCATTTCCCACCCTATTCCCCAAGCCAGGCCTGCACTCAAGGAAACTGTGCAGAGTCCCTTCACCTGTCAATACAAGGATTCAAAGGGCCCTTAGTTGCAAGGGTTGAAATCTTTTGGTTCAGTTGGCTTCCTCTTCTAAATGTCAGTGACTTAAACTGACACAAAAGCATAATTAATGACAATGTCATCTGGGGGCAAAGTGGAGAAGCAACCTGCACTCACTTTTCTATAAAATTTTCTCAGTGTGCTTCTGAGATGTTTACAGCCCAGGGATTACGTAGGTCTTGAAATAGCCTTAAATCAGTATCTCATGATAAGTGCGGTCATTTAAACAGAGTATCCCCCAATACGTAGTTAAATGGTATGTGAGAGGGGGCCAGCAAGTCATCCCAGAAAACTGAGCTCCTGAAGACAGATTAATAGATGTAGATAAATGAAGAGGACATTGTCCCTGGTGGCTGAATGTGAACCAGAGAGCTTTAGTTGGCACAAATCAGGGTCAAGAATGGAAAACTAAAGAAATGAAGTAAAATGAAAGCTAAGGAAATGCAGTGTAGAGAAAGGAGTTTTTAAGAGTGAATCATTGGCAGAAAGGGAGCCTGCAGGTAAGAATGGCTTCTTGCACACTTTGGCCCAACTCTATCCACAAAATATTTTTCCAAATAGTTTCTTTTAAAAATAGATTATATTTCTTTTGCATTTTAGAATTCCTTTGTGGCTTGGCATTGTTATATGCCTAGCAACCCCAAATCTCCTAGGTCCTCAATATTTAGGAAAAAGCAGGAACTGTTCATCACAGTCCTCATATCTGAATGTGCTTTTAACTTTTTTCTTTTAGAAAAGTTAATGAATTCAGGGGAATGAAAATAGACATTAGAAATTAAAATATGGGTATCTAAGCTATAGTTAAGAAAATTGTAAATGGTTGTTTTTTGTTGGCTCCTATAAAATATGTGATGCTTATGCACACTGAAGTTTTAAAGTTAGCAGATTATATTGTACAAAGGTATTTTTTGCCCTTTAAAAGTTATTTTCCTACATTAAGAAGTTTTCTTATATTAGAAACTTTTTATTGAAACTCAGGTTTTATGTCTCTGTATAGACAGACATAGGTGTTTTTCTTTGCACACTCGTTTTGCACAGGTAAAGTAACAAGTTAAATAATGCCCAGGTATGCAGGTCAATTGACCACTATATTAGCTAGATTAAGGAAGAGTATTTGATGAATGGAGGAAAAAAAAAAATCACCTTATATTTCTTTGTGTCTTTCTGTCCCTCTTCCCCTTTCCTTATTTAGTCAGGAAATCTTATGTAATTTTTGAATAGTCCGCAAGAAAACCAAGATGAAACTCTCAGGCAGATAGAATATAAAGCAGTTCCCATACTAGCTATGGTAATGTATTTTCAGAATGTACTGTTGTAATAAGTTTTATTTTCAATACTTGCAGTCTTTCCACACAGAGAACTCTTATTGGTCTTGAATGTGGAAAGGCATCTGTTCAGGGCAGAAAGAAATGTTTTATGTTTTACTCTAGAAAATTTGGTTTTAGCTTTGATGACACCTAGTGTCAATGGAATGCAATAAATGTTTAATACTGCTTTATGATGTTTAGGCATTTCTTGTTATCATCCTCAACTACATTTTCCTCCTCAAAAATGAGAGCCTTAGAATTGATGTGAAAAATAGCTGATACATAAAGCAGATATTTTCATCCCAAGAGCCAATCACGCTTCCCTCTGTGTTCAGTGTGTGGAAGGGAGTAAAGGGAGCTTAAGGAGAATGACGCTGTCTTCGTATGAAAGAGGGATTTTTTCCCAGCTGAAAATGAGGTAAAAAGCTACTAAATTCTGTTTATAAATTTTAAAGACCACCAAAAATAACCTTGCAAAAGTAAGATTTACAGATACTGTAGTTTTATTTTTCCCACTTTATAACCACCTAAGGGCACGCCCCCACCCAGTTGTATAAAAATAAAGTATAATATGAACTACAGTCTTTCTGTTCAGGGAAGAAATCTTAAAATTAACAACAGCAATTCTAAACAAAGACGATAAAATTTTAATTGGCTTGTTAAGAATTAAAAGGATAGTAGATACTATGTTTTTAGGATTTTTAAGTATCCATGAAAATTCTCTTCATTCCTAAAATAGTTTATAGTTGACTTCTTTTGACCTCAGTTATTTTGGGGCATAATCCTTTTATTATTGCATAATGAAGTTCTAGTTCCACCTATTTAATATTTTTCCATATGCTAAACACATGCACACACACCCATTTTCCACTTTTCATTTGAGGTCATATAATTCAGTTAGTGAAATATTTCACTCTTCTGTAAGTTTAAAAACTAAATCCTAAGCAGAGATGCAACACTGGGCCACGGTTTTAATAAAATGAAGACAGTCTCTAGACTCATGCTCTTTTTTGACATCTGACTTCTCTACCATATGTGCAGCACAAGAGTGACATCTTAAGGCCAAGTAACTAACGCTCCTTTAGCCAGAGAAAGAACTTGAATTGGGATCTGTGTTCAAAGAAATTCCATCATATTATTAAATACGTTTCAAGTTTACAATTTGCAACTGGTAGATCGTAGAAGTGCTTCTTTATTTATGACTTCTTTTGCAGTCTTTGTGAATATTTTAATGTGTACTAAATGCTAACATTTTACATAGACATATTGTATATTAATGCATGCATTTCACTGCATAGTTTATTGACACTCCCCTTGTAAAGCTTTTATGGAAGAAACAATAAGCCACAGCAGTATAGCAAAAGAGGCTTAATCTTTATAAATTGGGGCCTTTTCTGTCTCTTTGCTAGCTTAGGTGGCTGTATACAAATTTGGGTGGGAGGGGCTGGAAACACCTCTTTCCATTTAAGGTTTTCTACATGGTGAACTCTAGCCAATTCGAAACAAATTGCTTACTTTAATAAAAAATTTTACCATTTTATAAAAAGTTAAATCATGACATGTTTAATTGAAATGGCTGTGTTGTAATTAATATTTTGAGATAATTGTGATTTTGAGCTTAAATTATATATAAAACTTGTCATTTTTGTATGTGTTAAAAAAAAACTACTGTATCACAACAGTACTTTTTAGTTGAACTACATATTGATGTAAATAAAAACTGAATGAAGACATATTTACTACTTTATTAACATAGATTGTGAATGTAGTTAATGGGTTTTTTTGCTGTATGAGACCATGACAACCTTGAAAGCTGCTTCATTTTATGTGCAAAGAACTCCTATGGATCTATATTTTAAATTTACTGAATCAATGAAGTTACTTTGTCAGTTAATTCGCAAATGCAAGCTGTATTCTCCAGTTTTATTTTATGTATTGACACTAAACAGTAAAGGTGTACAATGTGATTAGACTGCATTTTGAAGATGCTTTCTGTACAGATACAAAATACAGGGACTATAATAATGCTGTGCAGTGTATAGCAAAGCCATTTTTCGGCTTTGATGTACTCAACTTTTTCAGTATTTAAAAAAGTGTTTTGAATAACATAAAAGTCTCTTTATTGTATAAATAATAAAATGTCACCTTATTGTAAAGTGTCTTTTGTTTAATATGGAAGCTGATTTCTTAGGCAGCAAGAGTTGTTGTATGAAAAGGGAATGTTTCTTTTAAACCAAAAACATAAACATTGTAATCAATATTTGAAAAATGTAACTTTTTAATGAACATGTAGTATTTATCTTTATTAGCTACGATTTTTTTCATAATATGAGTATGTCTCAATCACCCAAAAGCTATCTATCCATCCATCTATTACCTACTTACCTACCTGTCCACCCATCTATTTATATAAACTAGTTAATACTGTCTATCAATTGGTTACTTAATAGAATCACATAGTACATTTTATAATGACTGACTAGCCTACTTCTGATATTTTTGGTGTAAATACAAATGTTTATATTTAATTTTTATTAAATCTGGTTCACCTATAACAAATTACTTTTTAGAAAATTACCACATGACTACAAATTTAGTCTTATTAACATTACTAGCAAATTTAAAAATTAAGACCTTGGAAATTAAAAAAAAAATGCAAAAGGAAGGATCAGAACACATCAACAGAGTAATTATATATACAAATACCTGCTTAGTATTTAAATAAAATACATTTCAAGATTTCTATGCGGTATATGCTCTTATTTTCTGTTGCTGTTATCTATAAAATTAACAAAATTTCAGTATTTTTTTTTAAAGAACAAAAGGTATTGTTTAAATGCTCACATTCTGAGGGAAAATATGCAGATCTAATTTCTTTAAATATGCTGAATCTAGAAATACTAGGTTGTTGTATGGAAACTTAGTACTAAAGCATCTTAGAAAAAAAAGTCCAATAAAGTTTTAAATTCAAAATTGTGAGAGCAATTAAAACAACAACTACTATTTTCTCCACCAGTAACTACATCTTGTGTACCATTTCTGTGACATTAGAAATGCTGGTAAAATGATTTCATGAAACATGTAAAAAGACTAGGAAAAAACATTTCAACTACATTAAAACAAAACAAGACAATAAATATTAATTTGAAACTTATACTGATACCAACCATAACACAAAAGTCTTATCGTGGATAATGAAAAGACTTATTTTTTTTAAATGCCAAAGAACAATATTAAATAAAATTCAATTCAATTGTATAGTTAATTAAAAGATAGAAATTTTAAAAAAAGTTTAAAGAAAAGATAGAAATTGGATGATCATATTCAAGTCAGTCATAATATACGTAACACAAGTAGAAATGGGAAAAAAAATCCATCTCTACAAAAATGCTTTGTCATTATAAAAATATTTAACTATAATAAATAAAAATTTACTTTTGAAGAAATTGTTTGCTATGTGGGAATGACTTAATTTTTTCTTCCATAAATCTTATGCAAAATATTTAGAACAAATGTATGAACACAATACATGGTTACACCATCATAAATGAAGACAATACCTTAGAAAAATGTTAATTAGCAATTTAAGAAGTCTAAGAATTAACATGACCAAGATTATATAATGACTGCAATTTAAGTAGGAATTCGGTCTCTCAAATATTCCAAAATAGCAGCTGTTCCTTTCATTAATATGGCTGCTCGAGGAACGCGGAATGGATTACCATCTAGTAGCAATGTCCTAAACAAAAGAGAGAAATCAGAATTTTAACATTTTCCATTAGGGAGGCATTTCTTCTAATTTCATTTACTATTTCATAAGTAAAATATGTGTTTTTTTTTTTAATTGCCCCTTTTCAGTCTAAGCACTTAAACAGTTAGAATTGCAACTATAATAAGACTGAAATAACATTAATTGAATACTCATTACGTGAAAGGTATGGTTCTAAGTAACTTACATTCCCTGACTCTCTTAATGATCTTGACAATTCTATGATGTAGGCACCATTAATATTTTGATTTTATAAACAAGAAACACAAGTTCAAAAAGATAAAGACTTGTCCAAGATTACAGTTATTAAATAGAAGATTTGTGATATGAATCATTATTTTACCCATCACCTCCTCAATCTTATAATGACCATATGCTAAATGGCTGAATTATATTACACATGTGTTAGAATGAGCAAACTGACAAATACTCATATCAAAGACTATAACACAGTCAATATATCCTATCCACACCAGCAACGTTAACACATCTGCCTTCGTACTTCCTCCCTTGACCAGACGCACTAATAAAATCTATTTAAATGTTCTGAAATAACAGTTTAAGATCTAAGGGCTGGTTGATTTACTTAATTTAATGAAATAAACTGTAAGAGATTTTTTCTTAATTTTCAGTAACTTAAGTGTTTATATAAACAAAAGTCAAAGGGTTCACAGCATATTATACAGTAGATCTAAATTATATCTTCAAATATATCTGTGTGCCATGGGAATTCTTTTAAAGACTGATTTTCTTAATTTATAGGAAAAAAGTTAATTATAGTCAATCTTCATTTCTCATAGACTCCAAATTTGCTAATTTGCCTGCTCACTAAAATTTATTAGTCACCTCCAAATCAATTCATGGGGCACTTTGAAGATCATTTTGGACATGCACAGAGCAGCAAAAAATCTGAGTCACTTGACACTGAGATCAAAAAAGGTGACGCTCTGTCTTGTTTCAGCTCTCATACCGTAAACAAGGGTTCCTTCCATAGTCTATTTAATGTGACTTTTTTGTGTACTATTGTACTTTTTCTTGGTGATTTTGCTGTTTAATATAGCCTGCCAGCATAATGCTGATGTATTTCTAGTTTTTCTAAGCACACGAAGGATGTCATGTATCTTACAGAGAAGATACACACGTTAGATAAGCCTCATTCAGGCATAAATCATAGCACTGTTTTGCCACAGTTCAATATGAATGAATCAACAATATTAAATAAGGCATCTTAGTACAGAAACACACATAACACAAGATTATGTGTTGATTGGTTGATGAAAATGTGACCAGAAGCTTGAAAGAGTCTAACTCTGTGCTTCCCCTAGGGAGTAATGGGTCAGTATTCGCTAAGTTGGTTTTCACAGACTAAGTTGGTTTTCACAGAGACTTTATAGAATACACTTATGGAACATAACAAGAGTCAACTCACTTGCCTTCTATAATTCAGTAAATAAGGTACCAAAGATATCAGTGCTTCCCTAGTAAAGTAAAATATGTTAAAACCATTATATGCAGTTTTCAATAATTAAATTTTTCTGACACATTCTGTTTAACTACTAGGCTTGCTGTTCATGTCTCAAATTCCCTTTATATTCACTTAACAAGTATACTCATTAGGCACTTACCATTTTCTCGGCACTGGGATAACTCTTGTACAGGAGGACAAAGAAATGGTATAAACGAGTCCTAACAAAGCAGGATGGGAAATCTAAGGAGGGACTAACTCTGCCTGGAGTTTTGGAAAGGTTTTCAAATGTGATAATTAGGTCGATTACTGACAGAAGCAGGGTAAAGGTACTTGAGGCTGAGGTAATGGGAAACACAGAGTAAGAAAGACCATGCAGGGCTTGAAACAAGTGGTAGTAGTCTATAATCAGATTTTAAAAATCCCTATATGCACAGCTAAGGAGTTGATATTTCCCTGATGTTTCTATGCAGTAGTTTCAGGTTATACACATACAGAGGGATGAGAAAAGTATCACTAAAAACAATCAACATGTATGATATATGTGTACTATATTTACACATATATCATGCTATATAAACAAAACTAAAAAATACATTTGGTAAAATTTGGAAAACAGAATTGGGATTCAGAGTTTTGTTACCTGTTATTTTTAACAGGACATTACATTTTTTATTTCAACTTGCCTGCAAGAGTACCTCAAAAAACAAACAAACAAAAAGAAACAAAAACACTTCCACAAACTAAATAAATGAAAAAACTTAGCAGAACAGTGTGTTTACCTTAAGTTCACACAGTTACCGAGCTCTGGTGGAATCTGTAAGAGGTCATTATTTTGAAGGTCCAATGTGATCAGATTTTCCATTGTCTTCATTTTCTGAGGGTCTAAAGATCCAACCTGATTATTACTAATCAAGATTGTTTCAAGTGTGGGAATTCGATACAGAACTTCAGGTAGTATTTTGAACCTATCAGAATATGAACAGAACAAACAGGAATCAGAGGCAAAATTATCCCCTAAGATGATGGAGGTTTGATCTCATGACATAAAGCTTTCTTAATGTAAGGGGTGTTTTTTGTTTTGTTTTGTTTTTTTAATTTGGTGTAAGTTCTACACTTAAATTTTTCAGAAAATTCTAAAAATGGATAAGCTTTGGAAACCTTGAAATATATGTTAAGTGGACAGACTTGTAGCAGTTTCCATTTACTATAGAAAAAAAGCAAACAAAAGTCTGGAGTAAATCCCCCCATGTTTTTCTTTTCTCATTCAGGAGACAGGGAAATCTTCCTGAAATGCTCTTTATAAAATGTCTCCATGTAGGTATTCTTCCTTAGTTTACTTTTATTTCTTTGAAACAGAATTTCTGCCAATATTTAAAGTAAAAGAGATTTATACTTTGCTTTGATTTAGGCTTCAAAAATGACTGATTCAGTCATTTTTCCAACAATCAAAAATACATTCATTTTGGTTTTTGAAAACATTATAAAACAACTCTAGGTTGCTGGCTTCTTATCCAAAGTAACCCTGAAGATGCCACAACAGAGATGGGAAAGTTGATGGCTCTCAGAGCAGTTCTCAGTAACATAAAACCCTTCAGGATCTCTGGGTGGGGGCAAAAGAAACTAGCTTGGTTTTAACATGAGGCAAACTGCTGCCTCAACTGGAAAAGAGAAGGATGTGGTAAAGAAGAGCTGTATAGTGGTGGCCTTTTCACTTCCCCAGCTGCCCTTCTTTTGCTGCCGTGATGTTAAAAACAGCTGAACTACAATGAAGGGTAAACTCATTAAGGAAGCTCTGAAGTTACAGAGGGACGAAGAGTCAATAACCAGAAGTACAGATGAACCAAATTATCTTGAGTAGTCCCTCCAACTTCTCCCACAAACCACAAACAAGGTAATTAAAAATGATGCAGTTAACCAGTTAACATAGAAGTTAAGGTTAGGTTTTGCCAGCTCCCCAAAGACATTAATTAACAATGCAAGTGATAGCTCAATGTGTGAGTGCATGCTTAGTCCCTTCAGTCGAGTCGGACTCTGTGACCCTGTGGACTGTAGCCCTCCAGCCTCCACTGTCCATGGGATTCTCCAGGCAAGAAGACTGGAGTGGGCTGTCATTTCCTTCTCCAGGGGATCTTCCCAACCCAGGGACTGAACCCGGGTCTCCTGCACTGCAGGCAGATTCTTAACATCTGAGCTACCAGGGAAGGCCCTGATAGCTCAACAGACAAACTCAATAGAGAACTGATAGTTCATATCAATAGAGAACTGATAGTTCAATTCACAAATAAAAATTAGAAGAATCTCAGAAGCGCTTATATTTTTACATGATGACAGCAAAGGTATAACCTATACTCAAGAAAACACAAATAATTGAGTAGACAGAAAAAAATTAATAAGCAGTATTTTAACATCACTGTGCCTTAGATTTCTTATCTGTAAATGAGGATGAATAATAGTACTACAATTATATACTTGTTACAAGGATTAAATGAATGTATATGAAGGCCATGGGACAGTATCTGTAATATAATAAATGTTAGCCACTACTATTTACATTAAATTGTTACCAGAATCAACTTTCATCATAGGAAACAATATGACATAGTTGTTAAGAGCCCAACTTCTGGAGTCAAACTACCTGGGCTCAAATCCCAGCTCCATACTCCTCGATTTCTAAATGGACATAGTAATAGAACCGACCGTGCCGGGCTTTTGTGAAGATTAAATGAGGTAATACATGTAAAGTACTTAGTTCAGTGTCAGCGGACAATAAATACTAATAAATAAACTCCCAATAAAAATTAGTTATTATTACACTGGGCTTCCCTTGTGGCTCAGCTGGTAAAGAATCCTCCTGCAACATTGGGGACCTGGGTTCAAGCCCTGGGTTGGGAAGATCCCCTGGAGAAGGGAAAAGCTACCCACTCCAGCATTCTGGCCTGGAGAATTCCATGGACTATATAATTCATGGGGTCGCAAAGAGTCAGACATGACTGAGCAACTTTCACTTTCACTAATTATTATAAAATCTTAGTGTTTACAAAACACAATCTAAATTTCACTAGCATAAAAAGCTCTGAAAGCGCTGGCTACTGCTTACACGCCCAATTTCATTTGTTACTTCTACTCTTCTGCTACCTCATTTTTTGTTCTGATCCATATTAAACTTCTTGAAGGGTCCCAAACACATCATTTTCTCACATCCTTGGGCACTAATATATGCTACTTGTCCCTGTGTGTTCCAAGCCTCAGTTTCAAAGCTACCTCCTCTACCTTTAAGTAATCTCTGGAAATACCTATGTATGCACTATGCTTCCTCTGTAGCAATAAGAACTATTTATTTGCATATTTGTCTTCCTACTAGGCTACAGGTTTCTTAAAATAGTTAAAAAGAACAAAAAAATGTGGACATCAGTTGTGAAAATTCTAAAAAGGCAACATTATTCTTAACTCTAAGTGCAACTAAATGACAATAAACCTGGATATTTAAATGAAGAAAAAACATACAGCCTTTTTGTTTGTCTCTTCATTCTCTAGTAATCGCTAGTATTCTCCAGTAAGATCTACAAATTTTCTACAGAATAATTGTGAGTAAGATGTTTCTTACCTATTAAAGGAAAGGTTGATTGTTTGTAGCCTTGTCAATGATTCCATTTCTTCAGGCAAAGAATTTAAAAAATTATTCCTAAATTAGAGAGAAAAAGATGATTTACAAAATTTGAAAATTTGTCCAACTTTATAATTATTGATCCGACAAAAATTTACATAGCTCAGTTTGTCAGTTCTTGATTTCATTAAGACTGTGTCCTGAGAATTCTGAATCAGTCAGCAGCTTTTAAGTATTTGATCAATGGGCCTAATCCTAATACCAAAGTGCAACCAACTGGCGACGCAAACAACTCTTTAATAATAGACTTAACAGAGTAAACACTGTAAACTAATCCCTTATCTACTTCAAACTGCAATCAGCAATACTTTCCACAGTCAGAGCCCTTTAGGTCATGCCTGTAAATACTTCATTATTTGACATCACAAGTTATCTAAGTATTTGATTAACACATATATTTCATATATAGAATAATTGAAGAATAATTGAAAAATTACATGAAAAAGATGGAACAGAAATGTAAAGCGATTCTGTGTATTTAGAAACTTACAGTTTTCTACTATGTAAGTATTAAGGAAGACCATTTCTACTTTCAGTTTAGAATTTTAACTTGCACAATGTGTAACTTTTCAAGATCTTACAATAAAACACAGAAGTAAAGGGAATCTCATTTACCACTGAAATGATCTGGGAAAAAATTTAGAAGGTTAACAAGAAGGTAGAAGTATTCTAGAGGCCACACAACTACCACTATCATTGCTGTTTGGCTGCTAAGTCATGTCCGACTCTTTCTGTGACCCCATGGACTGTAGCTCACCACGCTTCTCTGTCCACGGTATTTTCCAAGTAAGAATACTGGAGTGGGTTACCATTTCTTTCTCCAGGGGATCTTCCCAACCCAGAGACTGAATGCACATCTCCTGCATCAGTGGAATCCACAGGTGAATTCTCTACCACTGAGCTACCAGAGAGAAGCCCCCAAACTATTAATAGAAAACATTTGTGAGAAAATTATCTCCCACTAAATGGTTATCTATCACACTGAGTAATTTTCTCTAACCTATATCTTTGCATTCAGAAGTGAACCTTATATATTAATATGCCATACTTTCTACAACTCAACATATGTCCTTTTTTCCTTTCTCTGTATTTTTCTCCATTATTGTCTTTATTAATTCGTGATGAATACCAACTGAAGGTCTATATCTTCTCCTAGAGTCTTATACATACTGATATCAAACATAAAAGCATATTTTAGTCACTTAATTAGAAACTTCCAGGTACAGTTACAGACAGAGGCACACACACAGACAAACACACAAACACACACACAAGGATGGGATGAAAAGAAATAAAGTCAGCAGTACTGGAGCAGGAATTCATCCTCACTGTTCCATTTAATACTGAACTAAAATGTGATTTTAAACTGTTTTGCCAGTGTAATTGTCTGTGGAAAATAGAAATAATTCCACATTTAGCAAGAGCATACATGCTTATATACTTGTTTTAACTGAATAAGGAAAAAATTTTTGCTTCTGTGTGAAGACTAATCTTCAAACAGATATAATTAGCTTATTGTAATTTAACTATTGTGTGAGTGGAGCAAGAGCAGTTATATTTTAATAAACTAAAACCACACCTAGTAACAACATACATGAGCAGTAAGAAGCTCAGGTAATAGAAATATACTTCACAAATCAAGTTTTAAAGCCTAAGAAAATGAACGACTATCTGACCCTGAAATACCTATTATCACCCTCAAAAACCTGTGACACTTCTGATCCTGTCACTTCAACTTAGGACATATTTAAATTAAACTTCCTATTATCTCTGTAGAGCCTTAAATAGTTTCCTTTATTTTTGCTGTCAATCATAGTGTTCTTTTTCTTTATCTTGCCTTGAATAGTTAATATATTTTGAAACCAAATAGGTTCTTTTTATGATAATTCAAGCTAGCTATTGTGCCAGCATAGCATTTACAGTTTTATGTTAAAAAAGAAAAAAGCAATATGAAGCAAATACTTTCCATGTGATATTTTAATTTTAAGTATGAAGCTAATAAAGTGTCAGTATTTCCTAATATTTTAAATAATTGTCTTATAATTTCAAATGACATCTGATTAAAATATTTCCTAAATGCTTACTTTTAGATCTCTCCTAAAATGTTATTAATAAAGACCAATTTTGTTTCTTAGGAAAACATGAGGGAAAGGGCAAAAATCAGGTAAAACACAAAGTATTATTAAAAAAAGGGAATCAACAGTATCAATAAATACCTGAGATCTAAAAAAGTCAATTTTTGAAGTGTACATAATTCCAAGGATATAAAGGAAAGCTTATTAAAACTGAGATTGACGTCAGAAACCGTTTCCTTCAGTTCCACAATCCTGAAACAGTAATAATTTTAAATATTAATACTTGAATTCACTGTCAGAACTTTAAAACTACAAGCTGACCATAGAGAAAAAAAGCTTATGTTATTTTTGCTAATTAAGATTTTCTGTAACTTTTACTTTTCTCACAAAAAATCACAGTCAGTTTGGATGTGTAACTGATAAAAATAGATTTTTAAGAACAGCTGCAATATTATCTGTCCAGGAATTTCTATTTGACTTTATTTATTTATTATTTTTTTATTTTTTCCATTTATTAGTTGGAGGCTAATTACTTTACAATATCATAGTGGTTCTTGTCACACATTGACATGAATCAGCCATGGACTTATATGTATTCCCCATCCCGATTCCCCCTGCCACCGCCCTCTGCACCCGATTCCTCTGGGTCTTCCCAGTGTACCAGCCCTGAGCACTTGTCTCATGCATCCAACCTGGGTTGGTGATCTGTTTCACCCTAGATAAAATACGTATTTCGATGCTGTTCTCTCGAAATATCCCACCCTCACCTTCTCCCACAGAGTCCAAAAGTCTGTTCTGTACATCTGTGTCTCTTTTTCTGTTTTGCATATAGGGTTATCATTACCATCTTTCTAAATTCCATATATATGTGTTAGTATGCTGTA